GGAGAAAATGGCAGCAGTGCGCTTTTGAACTAAAACACCTCCAATGTGTTTTACTTCAAAGTGCACTGCCGCCATTACCTCAGTGATGATGCGCGTTTCACCGTTTATACAAGTGCATGTGCTGCAGTGCTGGTTGCTTTTGCACGCATGCCTGCATGCATACAAATGTCCCAGGTGACAGATGGGGGTGGGGTAAGTATGGAACTGATGATGTATGGACAGGTTAAAGCAGATGAAGCAGAAGATCAGACAGCAGAGTCATAACTGGTAAGATTTGCACCCTGGGCACAAAGCCCAGTGCCTGCCTTCCCCTTCCCTCTCCCCCACTTCTGCCCTGCCTCATTGAAACCCAGCACACCAGGACATCACAACCCTGAATTTGGCAGCACTTCCTCCCTCAGCGGTGCTGCCATGACTTCTGTCACTGATTGCCCTTTAACTCAGTGCCCAGGACTCACAGACATGTTGCCCACTGCTAGTTTTGCTCCTGGCAGACAGTAGACAGAAGACAAGAGTTTGTGCTTTCTAGAACACACTGTTCAAAACCCACTGGCAAAACATCCCATATCTTTCTAGCGCTTGCTTATATAGAAGAGAATAAATCTATTGCTGCTATCAGTTAATAACTTAGCTCAGAATTTTGTGTGGTGCATCCAGTCTTAACGAGGAGACTATGTCATATAATGGAATTTCTGGGTTTTTTCTGTTTTATTTTTTTTAAACTGGTTTCAGAGCCAGGCAATTTAATTTAGGAAATACTGATACTGTCAATGAAGTTTTAATTTTCTGCCCTTCTGCATATATGTTGAGTATTTTTTTCCATGATAATCATCCTTCAATATACTTGATGTTAAGAGACTGGAAAAACGTATTACCTAAATACTTGATGACCTATGTGAAACATTCTTCGCCAGCTTCTGACTAATTTATAAAAAGGAATCCTACTTGCTACCATGGCTACAGTCCCTAGCATCATTGCAGTTAAGAGGTCTGTCACTGGCAATCAATCCTATTTGTGGATATTCATTGCCATTATAATATTGCTTTGGAGAGTGAACTGGCTTTAGTTTTAAAATGTACAAATCTGGAATCATCTGCAGCATTTTAAAAATGTCATGTGACAAGTTGTACATTTCCATTCCCAATATATATCCATCCCTCCAATGAATGCTTTTAACAGCTGTGGAAAATGAAATACAAAATGAAGAGAAAATTGCAATGTAGATTAATATGATAGGTACATTTTGTGCACCACATCTTTATGGGTCTTTGCTACTTTGACTTATTGCTACATTAAACAACAAGGAGTAGTAAGGGAACTGAACCTCAACATTACAGTGAAAGTAATAATAATGGTTTAAATTAGGGTAAGAAAAGTCAGGGTTGACTCTTTATTTCATCTTGAACTGATTCCAGTGTCCTGAAACAAAACAAACATAGATACAGCAAATATAAGTATTGCATCTGAAAGGATGGGTGCACGTTGGTGGCACTTCACAAGTAAATGCTTCTATCTAATATTGATAGATCCTGTAAAGAGTGTTCCTGTGAAGTTATTAGTCAAATTCCTGATAGGAAATAGAATCAGGCTGGACTGTATAAGGCACTGTTATGAATAAGCATTTCAACTTCACAGCTTAACATGACTTCTAATGTTGCACTACACCTTTAAGATGAAGGTTCCAGGAACAAATATCTGCCTCTAACTTATGTGACATAGGCCAAACTTCTTCACCTTTGTGTCTCAGTATAATACCTGTACGTACTTTTAAAATTCTGATATGAAAAAGGTGATTTGAAGTGCAGTTATTAGAATATAATATGTTTTATGACATTAATGAAATAAAATTGACATCCTATGAAACACATGGAAGTAATATTTATCTGTGGAGGTTAATAGAATATTTGCACCTTTCCAGACAACTGAATTCAGAATACCTAGCTTATTAAAACAGCAAATTCTCCAAATTGGTAGTATAAATCAAATTGCAGTCATATTATAGTAAATTGCATTTTTCTTGGCCATAAAAGACTTGAGCCACTGTTTAGCCCAGCATTATGTATCATAAGTATTAAATGCATTTTCTGAACTAGGAAAGGATTTTTGGGGTGATCTCTCTTATTGGATCAACTGAATGGTTGGGATAAAGTTAAACAAGCTTTGTGCTTTTAAAATAAATCTTTTATTTTATTTTAGATGGATCACAGATACAATGAATTCAAGCTCCAGGCAATTATGTCTGAGCATAAGAAGACAATCACAGCTATATCTTGGTGTCCCCATAACCCTGATGTATTTGCAAGTGCCAGTGCAGATAACCTAGTGATCATTTGGAATGTAGCTGAACAAAAAGCTGTTGCCAAACTGGACAGTACAAAAGGTATTTAATATAGTTTATTTGGCATAACTTTTTCTCTT